GAAAAAAAAAGGAAGAAAGGTCAGAAGAAGGTGCAACAGAGGAAACCATGGCTGAGCTGGCTAGTATGGATTTATCAGAAGAATTCAACATGAAGTGTCCTGAATGATGGAAAACACATGAGGGAGAAGACAATTAGAATAGAAAAAGAGAGAAAAAAGGTTGAAATAGTCTTGACTGAATGCATCCACAGCTAGAGCTGAAGGAAGAGGAACATGGGATAAGAAAAGGAGAAATAGAGTGTTGAGATGAGTGGTAAAAACATCTAGAAGTGTGCCCAGATGAGAGCACAGACACTTGAACACCAGAGGATTGAGAGACCCCATGCCATTTTTAAATTCCTTTCTGTGTATGTACCACGTTCCATTCAAAATTTAATTAAACTACTTTACTTTTAATACATACTAACATTATAACATATGCTAAAATTTGTAGTTTTATGTTATATAAGTTATAATTCCTTTGTTTCAAAGGACACTCTTAAATTTCAGTTTTAATATCATGTGACCCACACACTATTGAAAATCTCGACTTCAATAGAGATTCAGCATTAGCCACATAAGCTGTCAGTGTACATGTATATATAAACTAGTGTGTTTGACCTACTTGACACATGTTATCAAAGTCTGCAAGTTGCTTTATCTGGGAAACAGCTATAAATTTTACAACCCTGAATTGGTGCCATACCCACCTTCTGCCACTTGCCTATGTACATGTAGCTTGTAGAGCGAAGTGTATGATCTCATTATAACGAGATCACTTCTCTCCACCAAAAGTTAATTTGGAATTTGCATGCAGTTTTCTCAAAGTACACATGTAACTGTTCTCAGTATTCTTGTCTGCTTGATTGACTAAGCATTTACAATGGTTTCTTTCCTAAGTATGGTATAGTTAGAGAGACAGTTAAATTGTATTTAGATCTTACTGTTATATTTTAATTAATTAGGTATTATTTGTGTTTTAAATATCATATTTGAAAGCTTTAATGATTTTTAAAGTTCGACTTGTTGTTGCCTGTATTGTAAAAGTGAATAATCAAGATTGTTTCATTCCCGTGTGCAACATGCTAGTGTAATGAGTGTCTGTACAGTGTCGCCCAATAATAATAATAATGAAGCCACAAGGGGATGTCTACATATCTGGCATAAATGATAAAAGACAAAGAATTGGAAAGGGAAATTAAAAATAAACTATAAGTGAAAAGGTAAAGTTTCAAATAACTTCTATGAAGAGATAAAATTTCTTAATTTTAAACATTTCCTTGCAGTGTAGGTCGATGATCGCATACAGAGTTAGTGATATAGTAGAGAAAAGGGAAAATAAATATAAATATTTACTTAAAAAACCTTTGATATTCATTTATGAGATTCTAGAGATTATGCAAATGAAATGTGAAATTGTAAGATAAAAAATAGTATTTTTTATACTTAATATAAAAATCACCTTGTAGGTAAACTAATAAAAATGCGAATGTCAATAACTACATTAAATAAATTTTTTTTTATTAGAAATAGTAGAAAAAATTAAAATTAAATGTTTTATTTTTCTCAAACTACATACATTTACAAAAGTTGTTGTCGAATTTTAAATAATTTCATCCATAAGTTTTACTTTTGGAATATGACAAAGGGCATTAGGTGCTATGAATTGTAGCATGTGGTTTCTATAGAGCTAAAGAAATGATCCATGATAAGATTCAGGGCTTTCAATTAGAACAAGTGATTAGATGTACTTGTAAAGAATGGGCCTTGAAAAGAAGGACAATAGTGTGGAAACAGAGAGAGTGAGACAGTGTGTCCTCATGGTGATTGATATTTTATGGTACCACCAACCTGAATGCATGTGAGAGTCAAGACATGCCTTCCTCTAACATCTTTTTAAGGACACATCTGGAAACAGAAGGAGACCCAGATGAGAGGAAGGATGAGGAACACCCACTATGGGAGTAGTTTTATAAAATTACCAGGTAAAGTCTTTGAGTAAGGAGGACTTGAGGACAAGGGATCCCAAACATGGGTCCAGTGATCATGATGAGTCCAATTACCTAAGGGGATAAGGGATTCCATGGAAGCCCAAGTCCCAAAAAGAGAGAGAACCTCCTGTAAAGTGAGAGAAGGAGAGGATATAGCATGAAAGTGAAATGTGACTCTTACAAGTTGACCAACCAACTCAGATGCACTGCCTTCCAAATGAGGAGAAGATGCTGGCTGCAGGAAGTTAGTTGGGACAGAGCCAAATGAAAAAATAATAAGCATCCAAGATGTCCACCTTGGTCATCCCAAGACCTAGGGTAAAAGACCACCACAGGGTGAGAAAATCTCCATGGGAAGTTGAGGGAGAATGAGAAATTGACTGACACATGAACGACGTAAGACCGGACAACTATCTACAAATTCCCTGAGCACCATGAAAAGTTGGGAATAAGATCCTGAAAAAGGATGAGAAATCTATCCCATAGCACTTTTAGCCATGAGGACCAACACTGCCATGGACAGACATTGGCAAAAATCAAGATCCCCTGGAAAAAGAGAAGTAATGGGAACAAGAGGCAATGGAGGAAGAGAGGAAAAACGAAAATCAAGGCTCTCTGACAGAACTTTCAGTACTCAACAATATGCCACAAACAGAGAGGAAAGGTCTGTAAACCAAACAAAACAGGCCCTACTCACCCTTAGCCTCTAAGACAGTCACCACAAAGAGTGACAGCACTAAAGTCAATGAGCAGTGGAAGGACAAATGGGAAGTGGTGATAGAGAGAAGAGGAAGCAGGACAGAAGACAGAGGGAGGGAAAGAATGAATACAGGAGAGACAGTAAACCAGTAAGGATAAAAAATAACACTGGCATGTGGCCCCAACACATGACACCAGAGAAACAAGCACACCAATAAAATCACACAGGCAGGTGAAAAGAACCAGATGAAGGCATATGAGATGAAAGGGAGGTAAAAGCAGGTGAGTAACAAGGGCATCACACCCCAGCCAACTCTAGCAACTAAATATCCAGGGAAAAGGCCGAGGAAGAGAAACACACCACTGTAGAAAATATAAGTGAAGGACCATCTACCAAAAATTCCACAGGGGAGTGAAGGATTACCATAGAAAGAGAGTTAAAGGAGGAAAAATAACTGGAAAGAACAGTATGTGTAAGATGAAGATAGAAAAGCCAAAACGTAAGAAAGACAAATGAAGGACAGAAGATCTGACCCCCAAGTCCAGAGAAAAACTCCAGTTTAGGTGTCAAAGAAAAACAGTACAATACTAAGTAATTCCTAGTCATATGAGGTAACAAAGGAAAGACAGCAAGGCATGTATGCCTGAAAGAAAGGTAAAAGTAATTATATATATACTTGTATATCTGGATAGGAAGTAAAAAACATACTTGAAAAACCCAGTCATGAAATCACTAGAAGGATGTGGTAGAATCAAAACAGCATGGGTATAAGGTTAGGCAAAGGTAGGTGGGAAAAGAAACGGCAAGATACCTTTTGTCACGAATGAGAAACATAGGAAGAAAGGTGTGTAAGGGACAAAAGAAGGCTCAGGCTGCATGAAAGACTCCACCACCTGCCACACAAAAGCCATCTCCTCTCCCAACAGACAAAGACAAACCCAATGCCAATGTAGTTGTTAGGCGAGCATGAACAAAGTTGTGTTTATCACATCAGACAACGTGAAAGTAACATCTTTGTAGACACTCCCACTAAAAAAAGTTCATGAGCAATAAAAGACATGTCATTATACATAAGTGCCAAATCAAGAAATGATGAATGTGATCTACAGAGCGAGTCAGCTTCAATAGTAGGGTATGTCACACTCTTATAGGTGGAGAGTTGTTGCATGCTCATTTGCATACTACAATGTAACTATACCATGTGATGTTAGGTAGGAGCCTCAAGGGTAGTGGTGAGCAAAAATTGTACATTTAGAGGGCAGGACAAATAAAAAAAAGCTATTATGTAAGCGGAAGTAGGGTATTGTATCAGAATTTCTTTCTTTTTCTTATAGATTTTTTTAAAGAATATTTTACTAACTAGTTTGTTTCTGTTATATATAACTTTCTAGCTATTCAATCTACTTTACATTTAAATTCAATTCAATAACATGCACTAAATGCCAAGAGTAAAGTTTCATAAATATGTAAATTATTAATATTGGAAACATTATATTTAACTCATAATGATATTTGAAACAAAACAATACTTTATCAGCAGGTATAAGCTCAAAGGAACAGTTACATGACCATAATTCAATTTTTGTCAGTATGATATAACAAATTCATTGAAATTTGTAACCTTAAAGGTCAACTGACTTTGGTAGAAACAAGAAAGATAAGCACATATAGATGTATAAATTTTCTGAGATCGAAATTGCTCCTTGATTAATCGACAAAATCAAAACATTTAGAAAATTATTCCTCTTATACTAAACAAGCAAAGTATCCATCCCCAGTGATGGGAAGAGTTTAAATTAATTTAGCAAAAGTACCAGTTCCCCTGTGACAGGAAATGTTTAAGTTAAACTATCAATTTAAATTATTTCATGGACTTCAAAATGGTTAATTGTCTTATACGTTTGGTTTCAATAAGTGCCAAAACTCTGAGCTACATTTTAGTCATGAAAAAGAGTTGCTCAACAATAAAATATGGTAAATCTACATTTTTATTAAGTTACATCATATTTTGAAATGTGAATGATAGTGTGATTAATTCCTAACAAATTAGTCCTCAATATCCTGCTTCTGAAATAAAATTTGGCATCAACATTATTCATGCCTATTCTCTCGTCATTTCAAAAGTAATTGTTTAGCATTGTCTGCATATGCAGTTTTTCAAACGGGAGACAAATGAACACTTGAACAGACACCACACTTTGCAATATATATATATATATATATATAAGATAACTTCACATGAAGCCACTTATTTAGTATTATAACTACTTATTGTTAAGGAATGTAATTCAATTAGTAAATTATGTACACTAAACAAATATGACTCATACCCCAAATAGGAAGGACTTCTTTGTAAACCACTTTGTTCCCAGGACCAACCTGTGTTAGTGCCTGGATCTATTGAAAAGAAAAAGAAATCTTTTTGTAGCAAATTACATGGTAATTCAATAATGTATACATGTAAAGCACAAACATTTGTGTGTCTGTTTATCTGTTATCTAACTACTCCTAGTAGAATAATAATGAGAGGTTCACATTTCCACCTGCCTTATTGCTGTTATTGAGCATTTATTATCTTTGAGGTAAGTTAATGTTAACTAGATTCATAGATGGCGCCACGTATTTAAACAAAAAAACTTTATTAAATTTTATTTACATACAGTGTGGGGGAAGGGCACACAAACGTCTTGTATATCTCAGAGAGTGCACTTGCACTCTCTATGGAGGAATGCAATGAAAGATAAACCGCCACCACCACTACTACAATAATACATAAACTCTGATGAAGTTTCTACTCCAACAGCCACCATAAGCCTGATGTGAAGAACCGTTTCTTGAGTTATACACATTTCCTACTTTGACCCATGACTTTATAACTTTGGCCCATAAGACACTTCTGCGACCAATAAAACGTGAACAAAAGGACATTAAGAGCTGGGTTTTAAAAGCGGGCAACAGAAAGCACACCTACTGCCATTACTTTGGTCACTACCTCTTCCTACAAAGTAACCCTGACCATTGTACAGCGTATACCATGTTTTAAGTATATACATAGTGAGTTCTTAAAGCTTATACAAAACTTTTGGTGAGGTAATAATAAATACTATAATAATATTTTATGTTATAAATAAATTGTATTTACATTCGATTTTTTATGTTATTTATCATACCATTCACCCCCACGTTTTTTCAAGCTTGTAACCCGAACAAAGGATGTGTACCTCAGTTTTTAATATATAATACTGCTAAAATGAAAATGTTTTTCTGGTATGTTAATCAGTTGGTATAACTACATACATACACACACACACATATATCTATATATATAAAGAGGAAGTTAGTTTATTTGTTCGTCTATAGAAACC